ATGTATTTGGAATATGAACATAGTAAGAAATTATGTTGGTCTAGGGGTGTGACAAAAGCAGGCTTATCTCTAGGGTCTATGACATCTCTAGCCATGTGTATTTGACTATGTTTACAGTACCACATATGAGTTCTCTCCCATTGAACAGGCCTTAAATCCAAATAGACAGTTGTTGATTACCCCCAAGATAAAAGTGCCACTACTTCACCAATAGGGATTATTTGCTGAGGTAGTCAATGTAGTTACAGCTGGATGGGATCATTGATTGGTTTTCTCCCTTGGCAGTTAGCATAGTATCTTCTGATACTATGAGGGCTAGTCCTCAGAGAGGAGACTTCCAGCCCAGTTCCAGCTACATCGCTTTAACTCCTGTGTCTGATGTATGTCCTGTCTTAAACAATAGGGTATTACCTTCAAGTTCTGGGAGGCAATCAAGGGCTGTGAAAATAGACTCTGATATTTTGGGAGTCTCTTGGACTACCCTGATCTTCAGTTCGAAGGGAGGTTTCCCATGTCTAGCACTGTGTTTTTGCTATATAGACTTGGCTATACACATGCACTCATGTATATATAGTATATGTATTTTTCAGTAGGCTTTTCAACTAATACATTTACCTGTGGATTTCATAAGTGTTATTTATAAATAAAATATTTCAATGCATTCTATTTTTGATGAGATCTGTGAGTTTTCATGTGGGATTTAAAAAACAATAATGCTGCCATATCTTCTGAACATATGGGGAGGGACTTCATTAGCTCTATACTTAAAATGGAATTTCCAGTCCATAGAATTTGTCCACGTATAGGTTTAGCTAATTCTATAAAATATATTGTCAAAGCATTTGTACCAATTTACCTTTTCTCTAGCAGCTGGTTCAGACTCTGTACCCTAACCAACTTTTGATGCTTTCTCCATTCTTAATGAAACAATACTTCTATTGTTTTAATTTTCACATTCATGTTGACCAATGAAGTTAAACACCTTTTCGTATGTTCTTTGGTTGGTTGGATAATCATACTGTCAGCAAAGTCGTTTCAGTCTTTTGTCTGCTTTATTCCTAATAAGCTGTTCCTCTTTTCTGATGTTTTGTAGTGGTCATTATGTATTCTGGGCTGTGGGGAAGAATGTGTATTCCTCAGTGTTTGGGTGGAATGTTGTGTAGATGTTGTTAGGTCCATTTGATTTATGAAACCATTTAGCACCAATGTTTTTGTTCAGATGATTCATTGTGCTGGTCAGTTCTACAGATATCTGGGAAGAGGGAGTGTCAGTTGAGGAATTTCCTCCATCAAATTGGTCTATGGGCAAGTCAGTGCGGCATTTTCTTAATTGCTAATTGATGTAGGAGGGCCCAGCCCTCTGTGTGCCGTGCTGTCCCTGGGCAAATGGGCCTGGGCTATGTAAGAAAGGTAGCTTAGCAACCCAGAAAGGAGTGTTGTTTCATGGTCTCTGATGAATCCATTCCTTCCTCCAGCCTCCTGCCATGAGTTCCTGCCTTGCTTTTCTCAGTGATGAATTATAAGATGTAAGAAAAAATAAACTCTTTCCTCCCCAAGTTGCTTTCAGTCATGATGTTTATTAGAACAACAGAAACCAAACTGTAATATCTGTTTATTGGTGAAAGAGGGCTATTTACTGAAGCCACCCACTGTTACTGTGTTGGGGTTAATTTGTAGTTTTAGAGGTAGTTGTTTTTCTTCTTTGATATTGACTACACATGTGTTTGGTGCATATATATTTAACATTATAATATCTTATTGGTGACTTTTTCCTTATCACTTCTGACTAGTTTTGATTTTAAGTCTATTTTGTCAGATGTTAGAATACATACCCTTACTTGTTTTTTTAGCTCCATTTACTTGAAATACATTTTTCCATCTTTTAACCCTAAGGTGGTAACTGTTATTGTTGGTGAAGTGTTTTTCCTTGAAGCAGCAAAAAGATGGATTCTGTTTTTCAATCCCTTCTGTTAGTCTGTATCTTTTTATTGGGGATTTGATGCCATTAATATTTAGTGTTATTGTGGCTGGAGACATGGCTCAGCAGTTAAGAGCACTGGATGCTTTTGCAGGAAATCCAGGTTTGAATTGCACTACCCACATGGTAGATAACAATGGTCTATAACTTCAGCTGCAGGGGATCTGACATTCTCTTCTGTCCTCTGCAGGCACTGCATGACACACGTGCACTAACATACATGCAGGCATAACACCCATAAGCATAAATAATATCAGAAATATTTAGTGTTATTGAAAGATGTACATTCATTCCTGTCATTATGTTGATTTTGTATTTTCTTGGATCTGTTTTTAATGATTGAACTGGTGTTATTTATCCCCTGTAGCAGCTCTTCCTCCTCCTCCTCCTCCTCCTCC